TATGATTTTCTAATTGCAAAAAAGACTTCTATAACTAACTTCTGAATTACTTCACTTTTTACTGAATTATTTTGGCAGTCTATAAAATAGAAGGTGAGAAATCAGAATATGTTGTTGTCATTGCCACAAATTTGATTTTGGTGACGCAAAGTCAAGTTAAAGTCAGATGACAGTCAGTTTGTATATGAAACATATGTAGTGTAATTAATGCCAATCATTTCTTAAAATTGAATACCCACTATGTTACCAAAAATAGATTTTTTGTTTGGTAGCTTGATTTCCTATTACAAACCCCATATATGCATACCTTCTTGTCCAAAAAAATTTTCTTATTGGCAATAATATTTTTTCACTTTGATTAAAGATTAGACTATGGTTGCTTGCCAAAACTCCTCCAGAAATCAATCAGCAGAGTTTTGGCAAAGTTTTGGCAGTCATTAAGAGGTTTCAGCAAGCAACCTTAGATTAACCAGGGAAAGTTTCTTTAATCACTATATGATTGGTTCCTTATTTTAGAAATAGAATTTCTTTCTTTATTAATATGATCATTATCAACAATAACAGTGTCAAATTAAAAGACTGGAATTAAAAAACAATAAATTTCTTGATGTTGTGAGCATGCAATCCAAGTTTCCTATTTAATAGGTTATTTTATGTTCTACACACAGCCTACTTGCTGACTTACCATTGATTCCCTTGATATGACACACAGCCTACTCACTAACTTATGGTCACTAGGTTAATTAGCTAATTATATCCAAAAGTGTCCCCTTGATATGTACCTGAATAATTAAAAGGGGTTCCCAACTAATAATTAAAGGGCCAGACCATTAATCATCAGAAGGGCTGGGGGTTCAACCACACTGGGTTTATTAGTTACTTACAGTCAAAGACTATTTTATGTAAGGTTATATATTTATTAAGAGTTATTATTATGTTGTTGTTATCAAGGTTGTTATCAACAATATTAACAATTGATTAATTCATTTAACTTGGTCTAAAGCCAAGTGTATTTATACCTCTTGGGGCAGTACAAATAACATGATGTGTGCTATTCTACTCTCCAATAATATGCTTATCAACTAATTACTAATTCTAAATAAATATTTACATCAGATGAGTAGGTTAATAAATATAAATATAGAAATATGAATAGGAATAATCTTTCGCATGACACTGCACAATGTTCAGCACAGCCATTACAATGATATAGAAAGATGGTCATTGGTCATGATGTAGTACACAGTGAATCTCGATTCAGCAGACCTTGATTTAGCATATACTAATTAAAATCTTGGTTTTTACAGATAAAGTTCAAGAATGGTTTCATAATAAACCTTAATAAAAACCTTCTTGATATAGCGGATATCTCAATTTAATGGATTTTTGGAAAATTTTCCCTAATTGCACAAACTATCTGTTAAATTAAGGTTCACTGTGTATTTAGCACATCACATGACTTCTGTAGTAAATTCGTTCTAATTGGTCAATATTAACCAGGTAATTGATAGGTCCAAGATTTACTATTGTGAGATCAAAATCCGCATCTCACACAAATCTCTTGATTTTTATTTATGATGACATGCTGATACAATTTTCCCATTTATTTATACTAAATCATAATAACAATTTCCACAAATGTATATTTATGCTTTACTCTCAAAACTATCTTTTACTATCATTAAACAATTTCTTATACTAAGAAATACTAAACAATATCTTTTTTAGATTTTACACTATGTATCCTGATCACGTTTCTTGGTGGGTGCCTTTCTAGCCGTTTTCCTCTTTACTACCAAGTCAGGTACGTCTCCAAAACTACTAAATAAGGTTTATTAATATTGCCTCACTAAAAGAAAAGAAAAGAAATAAAAAATAATAAAATTAATAGACAAATATAAAATAAGAGAAAATAATTATGCACGGGATTAGTATAAATTCGTCGTTAGGAATAGATTTATTATCATTACGAAAATATAATGTTTGAAGACCACAAGGACAAGGCCAAGGTTTATTTATTATAATATTTGAGTTTACTAAAAAAACTTTGAGTTAATTAAAAAACTAAAGATTACATGAAAGAGAAATTTACAATGTATTTATACATTTTAGAGGCTCTATCATCTAGTTCTCCAATTTCTTTAAAATCCTAAATTATACTAATTAATGTATTCTTTCATCATTATTTAAACCTTCCATGTAGGATTATTTTCAAGTAATTTCTAGTCAACATGAGTCATGTAAAATTCTTTCGTTTAAATATTATTCTGAGACTTTGTAATTCATTACATTTTAGAATGTTGGAATATTTATATTTCCAATATTTCCGTGAGTCAATTATTTTATTGGTGTTTGAATAAATTGAACTGTTTTGATCACTTGATCAGTTTTTCCGATTTTATTTGCGTGTAACTTTGTGAATCATCTCCGATTTATATATCAGTTTCCCGTGATTTATAATTTACTATTTTACACTATCTCACAATGTATTGAATTAAGGTTGTGGGTGAAACTCCTCAGAAATCAATCAACAGAGTTACACATTGATTATTAATTAGAGTTTCAGCAGAGTTTTGCATTTGGAGGTTTTGTCAAGCAACCTTATATTGAATCTTTAATTAATTTATGAAAAATTTAAATAATAAAAAGTATGCTTTGAAACATGGAATGTTTGATGAACTTAGTGCTGTAAGTTGTTCCTTTTGTGCACAATAATCTTAGTGATTTCAATTTAAAAAAACTCACATTTTAAATATTATCCTATTGGGTTGATAGCAGCTGGACTTACTACACCTCTGGATGTAATAAAAATTCATGGGTATTTATTAGCAAAGTAATTAAGTTTACAATTTCTTCCGCTTATTATCATTATCCTGTTTCATTAATTAATTATTGATTGGTTGAATCAAACTGTTCATACACATTCAATCAAATCATAAAAGAAAGTATTCTCTGAAAAAAAGAAAATTGCTATTATATGGAAATAATGTATGCTTTATCAAAAAAACTTTTTATAAATGCTTAAAAAGCCAAAAAAAAGTTTAAATTCTTTTTTGAACTATATAAATATGATTAATATGAAAATATAAAAAAAAATTTTGTACCCGAAGGTATTATCCACTCAAGATTGAACGTGTCATCCTTGTGCAGGGGCCATGCTAATCTTCTCTGTATCATTCCAATTTTAATAAGTGTCGCACCCTAAGGTGGACATCTATATACTTGATCTATAATTTATATATGGGGCATACTGCAACAAAATCAGACAAAGTGAACATTTGCATATCAAGGATTTCAGGGATCAATATTGTTTTGTATAGTGTTTGTATTCATGATATTCAAATATCAATCACATGAATGATATTTGAATATTGTCTGAACAATTTTGAATGAATATAAACACTACTCATGAGGAGCTTTAAACCAGTCATACATTGTTTTTCACCATGCAACTATCTAGTAGCATGTGAAAATGTGCAAATAAACTTAAAATTTGTGTGATATGTCATTCCAAGATTCATTCATATACAAGGATTTGCTTTTAATTGAAATCAAAATAAAATTATTTAGAAAGCTTTACAAGAAATGATCAATTTTATTATGTTTATTGAAAATTATAAAAAAATATTTTGCTGATAATTAATCTAAGATAAAAATGAAAAAGTATATTGTGAAAATCCACAATCAAAATAATTATATTACCTTTATAATTTATTAATAAAAAATGATAAAATAAAAAAAGCTGTCCTTTTTTAAGAACTCAGCAAGATTAAATTTTTACAAATTATGTTAAAGAAATATGTCAAATATTTCATTGTTTACAAGCAAATTTAATATTGAATTAATAATATCTACAAGTCAACTTCAAATAATTTTTTTATTTGTATCTTCATTGATCTCCATTTCAATGAAATGCCTCTATTTTTTCGTAATATACCCATTTCTTGAAGTTTGATGCAATTTATTTTTTTACTGAAAATGTGATCTAAGAGGATTGTTAGTTCTTGCTTAGTCCACCTTCTGACATAATGAACAGTTAATCCTTGTACATCATCCTCCAGTACACTTAGCTTGCTTCCTTGATCTTCATCATTATCATCATCATCATTGTTGATTATTACTGATTCAGTTTCGACAATAGTGGATGTTGTTGTAGCTGTTGATTCATCTTGATTGTCAAGAGGTTGTTCTCCAGATGCAGTGGTGGATGTAGCGGTGGTGGTTGATGATGATGAGGCAGTGGCTGTTGAAGTTGATAATTCTGTTGATGACACGTTTAATTTCTTTTTTCCTCTCTTTTTTTCTGATTCAAAAATATTGAAATTTACTTTATTTGGAGAAGTAGTTACTGGAGTAGGATTTATTGTATGAGAAGAATGATTATTATAAGGAGTAAAAGCAGATTGCGAAGTAATAATAGCTGATGTAGAGCAAGATCCAGAGTTTGGAGAAGAAGATAGTAATTGTTTTTGTTGTTGTAATGTGGTATTGTTTGTGGTAGAAACCATGGTAGAAGGAGAAGGCAGTGTGTTAGGATGGTATTGTGAAGATTGTATGTAATGAGCAGTGCCACTGGTAGTTGTTGATGCATAAGATGATGACAACTCAATTGAACACTGTAATGTTTGTGTGATGTAAAATATTTGAAAATCTACAAAATGTTAAATAATAGCTTAATAGATAGAAAATTGTTAAACTTACTGGAATCTCAACATTATCCTTAGGTAATAAATTTTTTAGACATTCAAAAAGTTCTTGAGTGTCCAATGGTGTTGGTGGTGGTCCTGGTAGAATCTTCTTGATACTTTCAAACAGATCCTCTGTATCAATCCATTCATTAATGGTAGAAGATCTACATATATAGTATAAAATTTAATATGAAACTAGAGTGACGACGAGTGGCGGGCGATAACCACCACCATTCTTAAAACACTTACCCCAATGCACCAGATTCTGTTTCACGATGTCTTCTCTTATTGGTTTGACTATACATTTTTTTTTAAAAAAAGTTTAAAAAAGAACTAGAGTGACGACGAGTGGCGGGCGATAACCACCACCGCCATCCTTAAAAACACTTACCTTTCTCTTTCATGTGGGTCTATGTTTTGGTTTTTTCTTCTTTTTCCAGTGGTGAAAGACATTTTGTTAAAAAAATTTGTTGATCGACGCGTACACGCTAATTATTTATCCTATGGGGTTTTTTTTTGGTAGGACAGGCGCGAATTGATTTTTTTTTTCTTGGAAAAACAATTTATTTTTTGACAGAGTCCAAGGCGACAAAACGTGAGTGTTGTTGTTTGGTTTGGTTTGGTCTCCTAAAGAAAAGGTGTTAATAACTAACAGAGGTACTATTTTTTATTTGTATTGATATAGTATGGTATCTTTTTTGGTTTATAAATATTTTAATTGGAAATCAAAAAGCAGAGCAGATCTTGCTGGGTAATTACAGTATTTTCATTGATAATATTTTGTTTTTCGTGATCATTAATAATAATATTATAAACATTATAAACACAAGAAGATGTCAAGGCAGAATAATTGAAAAAGAAACATTTTGAGTATGTGACGTTTGATTATCGGAAATTTACAGGTGTTGAAGCACGCATGCTGCCTTGAACACACATTACAGTCATTCTCACACCTTCCTTGTGTACACAAGGCTAATCTGACCATGGCTCTCCGATGATACAACGATGCAACGGAACTCCAGGGGGAGTGTATGGCCCTGGAGTTTACCAATACTGCACAGTGTTCGAAATTCGACTGCGCCTTTACATAAACTAATCTAATTTTAGAAATTATCTGCGGTTAATTTCCATATTTGGTTAGTGCACGCCAATTCCGCCAATTGAATTTCGAACAGTGATACTGCACCAATTGTCAAGGACACTTTCACTAATCTCCCCAGACCAGAGATGGCTGCTGGCATGCTAGCCAAAAAGTCGCCTGCAACGATCCTGCCTCTAGGGTAAGGATGGTACTGTGACCAAGTTGCAACTCTGCTGATGAATATTAAGAGAATCTGCAGCTCGTTCAAGCACAGGGGGTCACAATTCAGAGCAGGGTTGGTGGCCCTGAAATTGCATTTGGACTCTGATGTTAAGAGGAAAGTTGTTAAAATAGTGTTTGTTTTGTATAATCACTTTCATAAATGCTCTGTTTTTCTGATGCTAACCAATTTATAATTTTGGGTAGGAGATTGGATGGGTTTTTGCCCAACCAGTCCTTTGTCTTGTAGATTAAAATTATCACATGATTATATACATCCTTGTCAGCAATATGGCCAACAAGAAAAAAGCCATAAAAATGGTTTGGATTTTGTTTGGTATGTTATGTTATAAATTAATCATTTTCCCAAATTTTCTGTTTCTCTTTAATTTTTGTTTGACCAACTGAACTTGTTATTTAAATAAATGGGGGTAGGGTTGTTGGTGAGTAGGAATGCCGCTGACAAGACAGGGGATGCCTTTGGGATATACCAGCCAAACTCATAGAAAGGGATCCTTTATCCAGACTTAGGGCCACATGGGTGTTAAGCACAGAAAATGTACACTATCAATGTATATTTTTTTCAACGAAATAAACATTTAAATAATTAATTGTTAAATATTAATACTTTTCTTTTCACAAAAATTACAGCAACCCAGGACTCAAAACTCTGAATTCGGGGAAAATCCAAAACAGCAATCCAGGTTACAACCTCTTGAGTTGCTGAATTCTCAACCCAGTCTTAACACCAACTTTAATGCTAGTGTGGCAATAACACAAAGCAAACATCACACAAGCACCAGCTATCAGCAA